GCCACCTTGACAACCACAGATATGCATATGCAGAAATGTATGTGAATAATATGTATATATTAGGTGCGCATGTTACAAGTCATACTACACTATTCTCTGTTACACAGGACTATACCATTCCACTTTATACCTGTTCGATTATGGTATATGTGGCAATGTTGTGTTATGTGACATTTCAATGTTACGCTATATTCCAGTTCATGGTAGCAGTAGTAGGTTGTGGGACGTTTTAGTATGCTGCATTCTTATATGGTGCTGTAGTAGCTAGTACAGTGTTGAAAGCAACGCTTAAACTTGTTTTGTATCTTGCTAGGCTGCATTATTCTGCTACATTAAATGTTATAGTAGGCGATATACTGTGTGTTACCTTACATATGATACCGCCTGTTTTATACAATCATTCACCAAAAATGACTGATGCTGCATCACTTGTTACTACATTTTGTGGTACGCTATTGTAGTATACAACATTATAGACTCTTACATTGTATGATATTGTGGATATGGCATCATATTGCGTTACATTGTATTGTTATGCTATACCATATTACACGGTATTGTTTGATTGGGTTATTGCGGCAGGTTTTATTGAATTTTGCTGCATTTTGTGGTATGTTAATCATCATTTGCATGTTGGACGCCCTAATATGTTTCGTTCGTGTCATATACAAATTATGTTGTAGGGTAGTTGACTCTGTATATGTATCTATACAGACATTGGTATAGCTCATGTTGTATTAGTTAGAAAGCGTCGCCCTCGAGGCCGCTTCTTGTGGTATTGAAGCTGATATCAGATTGTTACTTGTTGTGTCTTTTCTTTTCTGTATTGCATGTTGCATATTGTTGAAGATGTGTTTATGTTATGTATTCTGTAGTCTATGTTTCGTATGCTACATCGCAATAAGCTGGTGATTCCGCTTGTAAACAATATGTTTTTGTCTGGCATATGGTTTGTATATGTTTCATGATATGTCGTATAATGTTCGGTATGTGATACACTACCTACCAGACCACATGTTCCATATTTCATGTTACATTATTACATACTTCATGGTGTATGTTATATGTTCTGCATTTTCTGTGTGACGTTGTTCGAAAACATGTTATACTACCGTCTTATACTGCATTTCAGGTATTTATTGTGCATCATATATCAGATGTTTTTCGATGTACATAAGTGATCAGGTTATTGTATGCTATATACTGTATGCCCTATAACGTGTATTATGTAGTCTTTGCTGTAGGTTGGGCTTTATATGTTAGAAGTTGTAAACTTGATTTAATGTTTTCTGTACGTGATGTATGTTTAAGGAAGCTGATATTGTTGCTGATGTTTTGTACAACGTTTGTCTTGCACGTCTCAAAGATTGCACTGGATTACACGTCACATCTTCATTGCCACATGTCTATGTCTTTCTATCTCCCTGTCTATCTATCTTTCTATCTAATCTCTCTAATTGTCTATCTATCTACCTATCTAAACATACATACATATACACATACATACCTACATACATAGATACATACATGTGTCTGTATGCGTAGGCGTCATTTATCGCAAAGCACTTATTTCGATTCAGAGTTACGTCTTGTTCAAGATACATACGCCATGTAGTCTGTTATACAATACACATTATTATCATTTGAACCATTTGTATCTTTACACTTTGTAGGATGTATATGTATATATATATACACCCATATACCGTATTGCACATTATAGGCATCTTCTAGAAATATGTTATATGCGAGATACATACATCTGTATTATGTATAAGATGATTAGTTGCGTACTACACACTTACATACCTGCATACATATATATGCACATATATATATATGGACACATATGCATACATATATATATATATGTATGTATATGTACATGTGTGTATATATATATGTATATATATATGTATATATATATATGTATATATATATGTATATATATATGTATATATGTATACGTGTATACATTTGTGCGTGTTGTAGTATATGTATTTACAGTCCCTCCCGCTCTCTCTATGTATGTAAACATATATACAGATATGAATCTATATGTATGATTATATGTATATATATATATATACATATGTGCGTGTTTTCTTGTGCCCGAGGTTTGCCCGCCAATCCTGGCAATACGGCCTACAGTGCCTGCGAGGAGGAGGCTTCGATGATGGTCAATGCTGCGCTGGCACCGGTAAAGACAAGAAGCTGGAATAGAATCGGAGGTTAAACCTCAGAGTACTAGTACTTAGCATCCTTCATGTGCCTCATTTGCCAGCTGGTACTGTGCAGCTTTGCAGTAGCTGGGGCTTGCTACCACGCTCCCGGGCAAGTTGGAGGAATATTGGTCGAATCGCGAGGCTGCCATTGCCTCCTCCTGCCTTTCTTCCATATGTGAAACAGCCGGAGGCGCGTGCGGTGAGAGCCCTTAGCAACCCACTCAAGCGCTTTCCGCTGCCTTATTATGGCTTCCACGAGCGAATCGGCCTGTTTGAAGCCGCGCTGTCTGGAAGGTGAACTGCCGATGTACCTCTCCGGAGATCATTTCCTCGGTTCCGGAGTCACCCCGCTGCGAGACAGTCAGGCCAAGGACTGGGGACGGACAGCCAGGGTGACAATGCGCATCGGAGCTTGAACGTAAGTTGCTGCATACGAAATGCTGACCCTACTGTTCGTTGGCAGTGTTGTTGCTGTCGAAGGCATGGCTGTTCGTTTTCATGCTCTTCGTCAATCATCGTCATTGCAAGGTTGCCTGAACTGTCTTGGGTTTGTATGTGTATGTTTTGTCTTCCGTGCCACTCCACTCTTTTCCTGTGTCGAATCGAGAAGTGCCGGCAGGCTTGTGTAATTTCCTTTGAACTCGGGCTGATGATCGTGAACCTGGCACTGCTGCAGTTACTTGCTTTCGCATTCCTACGACTTGAGGCCAGAGGTGACAGCACCAGACTCACTAGTCATGAACGCTCAGTCGCCATCAGGGGCTGAGCATCATGCACAGAATCGGTGTTGCGACGCACATACACGTCATTGCAAATGGCGAACCCAAAAGCAAGGCGGGCCTTGAGAACCATGTCACATCAAAGTTGGTCTTCAGCAGCTGCTTCCGGAGATCCTTCGAGGAAGTTTGGATGATGGTAGGTGCACGTCTTCCTATGTCCACCAAGTGGTGTCGAAGAGTTGGCGTCGGCACGGGCAGCACAACCGCATCGGCATGCCACATGCGCTCGTTAGCTGTTAGCTGAACCATGTGCAGCTGCTGTGGCATGTCAGCAACCCGTTCTAAATGCAGCCGTCCTGGTGTTGAGGAGTTGCTCGAGATTCTGATTCGAACTCCGTCAATAGCAGTCAACCCGGCTTACGTGCTCACCTTAGCAACTGAAAGACATTGTCATTTTTATTAGCTGATCGCATCAACAGTCACCTGATGCTGCTGCCCATACGAAGTTTTCCTGGCAGAGGTCGCTAAGCTCAGGGGCTCTACCCTCTTTACGGAAGCAGGACTCGCTCCGCAAGCAGTAGTATGCATACTACTGTATTTTGTTGTTGGAGAAGCCTGTGTCTGATGAAGAAACGCGCGCTTGAGGACGCAGTGATGTGACAATTCCGCTCATCCTGTCCTCTCTCACGGTCTCGCCGAAGGTGCTACGCTGCTACTCTACTCTGTTTCGCTTTCTTGGCACATCTATACCTCCTAGAACTCAAAGCCCTGAAGGCGAATGCCAGAGGTCAGCTTGCAATTGTTGTCCGTGAGCAAGCCAGCTGTGGAGAGCTCAGCTTTCTCCGGGTTCCGTGCGGTTCCCTGCAATTAGTATGGTCGTTCTTCCTATGATGTTGATGGCTGTTATTGTTATTGTCATCAATACTGTTATTCTTGTTCTTATCACCACTACTACTTCTACTACTGCTGCTACTACTACCACTTGACTACTTGACTACTACTGCTGCTACTACTACGTCTACTACCAATTTTTGTTATTGGTTTCCTTCTGATTGTTGGTATTACCAAACGGGGGACCCTGGTGGTGCGTGTGCTGGATGCTTTTGTGGGTTGCAGCCAACTCTGGAATATGCGCAGTAGGATAAGACAACAACGGAACCAAAACGCAAAAGCAAGCCAACAGAGCCACAAGAACCACAAGAGCAAAATTCAACAACAACGAACCAACAGCTGAAATTGTAATCGTAACAATCAACTGTTGTTGTTGTTGTGGCTGCTGCTTTATGTGGTGGTGGTGTTGTAGTAGTAGTAGTAGTAGTAGTAGTAGTAGTAGTACTGGTCCTGGTCCTGGTCCTGGTCCTGGTCCTGGTCCTGGTGCTGGTGCTGGTGCTGGTGCTGGTGCTGGTCCTGGTACTAGTACTAGTACTAGTACTAGTACTAGTACTAGTACTAGTACTTGTACTTGTACTTGTACTTGTACTTGTACTTGTACTTGTTGTTGTTGTTGTGGTTGTTGTTGTTGTTCTTCTTCTTCTTCTTGTTGTGGTTGTTGTCGCTGCTCGGTGTTGTTTGTATTTGTTGTTGTGCATATTGTTATAGTTATTGCTATCGTTCTTGTTATTGCCATGACTATAGATGTTGATTCTCACTACGACTCTTAGTATCGTCACTAGCATCCGTAGCAGTAGTATTGACATGTTCTACAAAGTCTGTATTATACTCATATACCAATTGAATGGCTCAACTGTCCTCAGGTCCCAACTTATCCGCCTCCATCGACAGGCATTCAGCAAATCTCATTTGGCTCTGTTGGAACTTCGGTTGCTCCAGGTGCTGGCTTTTCCAGATAGATGCCAGACGAGCCGTCGTGGCACACACTATCGACAAGTTGTGCGCAGCAGGCCAGGGTATCGGGGATCTAGTCATCAAGCCAGAATCAACGATGCAGCGCACCTTGTGCAGGGATGCTACCAGATTGACTGCAACTTCAGTTCAGTTTCTGAGGGTTTCCACGGCTTAGGCGCAGTGCTGGACACCGTTCTGGACCCTGTCCAGCATGTACAAGCTCCTTGTTCGCATTATGCGGACCAACCACGGAACCGACCTTAAGCCACACTATGCTCGCTTGTCCAACAAGGTGAGTGATACTTCAAGGGCTCGGGTGTACAACACTCCCGTTGCGCCGCTCGTGCAGGACTCTTTGCATGCGTCCAGAACTCATTCCACACATTCCTACATTGACACACTGTGCTGCCTAGGAGCAGACTTACATCGAGAAAGGCCATAGCAGTATGAAGGACGACACGAGCGGAGTCCTCGGAGCAGCCCGGACGCACCTGCGCCCAGCGTGGCCTGGACTAAGGTGCTATAACGCTCGCGTCGACACCGCAACTGACGGCATTGCCCAGTCTCTTCAACAGCACCTGGCTCGGCAAAGCTCCGAAGCAGCTCGCGGCAGCTCAATCGCTGAACTGTTGGAAGCCTCCCAGGTATTCAATCTCAACCCGACTTTCGAGCTGTCAAGGTCTTCAAGGCATGTTCGGAGTTCTGCAAAATCCACTTGCAATGCCTGCTTGAGGGAAACTGCGCCCCGCCCCTGCCTGCTTTGCCACGCATGAGCACGTGAGCTCGCGCGATCCGTGTGATTGAGTGCTGTCCGACCGAGCCGCGGTGGGATTGCTGGCTTTCAGTATACTAACGATTGACGTCGTGCGCTTGTCCCAGTCGAAGGGACATGTGTTGAGAAGCCTTCCAAGCTCTTTGCTTGTCATGCATGTGCTGCAGGCACCACGGCAAGGACTGCACGTGGAGCGCAAGGAATCAACCCGTGCTTCACATTCATAGAAGTTTCAGCAGGACAGTCGGCTTCAACCGATGAACCTCCCAAGGCGACGCAGCCGCATCCAGCTTTGCCGTGAGATTCTAGGACAGACCAGATACCATTCACTAGAGTTGGAGATTGAGAAGCCTGTTTAGAGCAACATCCTCCAAGGAAATTGCCCGGGAGCTGAAGATGCTTGCTCTCGCACAGAGTCATAGGGCGATACTTTCCCTGCAGCTTGTCTGCATGCATATTCCACTGAAAAGTTCTCCAGTCAAGACAGGCTGCAGAGTGGCTCTGTTGATGAGCCTTGCCCAAAGAATGGCACTGATGAAGCGCACTAGTCTTGTTATGAAGTCAAGCATCTGAGGCATGGGCTTGTAAGGGTGCCTGCTGGATGGGCACTGCTTACGGAGTGGTGCCATGCGGGCTCCTTGCGACTTGCCTCTCAGATTTAAAGGTTCCCAGCACGTGCTGGCGAACCCTGCCGCCCCAGAGAGAATGCAAGAGAGAGATGTCCCAATGGCTCCTCGAGGTGTAGTTAAGTATCCCGAACAAGATGGGTTGCGGGTTGACGCACTACTCTCCGAAAAGCACCATCATTGTGTAGCCCACGCCGCTGTTTGACACCTCAGGTTGCAAAGTTTGACCGCGGAAGGCAGGCATTCCGAAGGTCAGGCCATGTTGCTGGAGAAGCAGCTTCTGGCTGGCATTCGGCATCTTCACCAGCGAGGCCCAGTCTCAAATTTTCGCGGGGTCGCTTCCTCGATGGGGAATTTGATGTCAAGTGTGGCAGGAATTGTTCACAGAGACGTGAAGCTTGCCCCTTGCTCGAACTTCAGACCTTGCGATGCCAAAAAAAGTCGAAGCCGCCGAACCTTCTGTGCATCTCAGGACCACATCCTGCTGCACTCGAAGAGCAAGCTCGTGCTGTCTGGATTCGCTCTTGCTGCTCCACTGTGTGAAGCACGTGAAGCTACGGAGCCGGCTGGGCAGCCCAGCAATACCGAAACGGTTTTGCCCGTAGCGACATGCTCTCTGAAGCCAGTCGGGCCTGGGCCGCCTGGGCCTGCTTTACTTGCCTTTATCCGCCCCTCAGCTGAGGTCGGAACAGTTGGCTACATGGCTCCAGAGGCCGCGAAGGGGAAACTGGCACAGAGAGCTTGAGGGGAGACTTCCGACTTGTGCAGATGTGTGGCAAAGCAACAGCAGGGGAAGAGAAGCCGACTGACAGGCAGATTAGTGTTGCTTGCATCCATCTCCGCCACAGCATCACCCCGGTCCTGAATTCGTTCGCCACGGGTGCAATGAAGCGGATTCCGGCTTTGCCTTTGTAACTAACTGCTTCTCGCCGTGTCGGCTGTCCTATGACTGCGCACACAGTGGCGTGAGCCAGAGCCAACGCTGTCGATCACAGAGGTGGGACAGCAGAAACGTGGAATCCAATAAACAGCCTGCCACAAGAAGTCAGTATGTGCATGTACCACAAAGGAATGGTGCAAATCCAAAATCCGGAGGAATGCCTTATTTGGGGTTTTGGAGGGCTTGGATCTTCGCTGGCCGGCTCGAATATGAATCTAAAATGTTTCTGATCATTACTGTAATTATTAGAGAGATATGGTATATCAATCTAAAATATCTCTAATGACTCTGTACTTAATATATAGATATTGTATATGAGTACAGTATTCTATTAGAGTCTCATAGAGACCTTTGCTGTGTGTTTGGCTTTGCCAGGTGATTCGCTACACGCCGGCCTTAGAGCCCGCAGATGTCTTTGCGGCAGGCAGGGCCAGGGGAGGGTGAGGGGAGATGGTAGCGACCCTTAGAGGGAGAGTTTAAGGATGGTTAGGGCTTTTTGGGTTTAGGGTTCTTCGCTGTGGTCATGCTGGAGTTCCATTTTCCTCTGGAGTCGTGCAGCTCTCTGGCGACGGCAGGTGTCGTGCTCTATACCCTTCTGCTTGGCCAGCAACCTTTCGGTGCAGAAACGCCGGCAGAGGAGACCAAGTACAGGACAACCTGCACCGAGGCAAGGTCATCGTTTTGCGCACGCAGGGTTAACCATGCGATGGTAGATGCCGCAATGATGCATCAGTTCATAGAAAAGCTGGTAGAGTGCAAGCTTGCTGTGCCATGCTGAGTCTCTCCAGCATTTAAGGGATCTCCTTCCCGCCACATGCAGCAGCACCTCTTGTGACGCAGTTCAGGCAGACTACAGCGGACTGATATTTCAGCATCTTGGCACCTGATGTTCTCGTCATTTTAATCCTTCGGTTGGTGTGGCTAGTTTCTGCATGTGACCTTCCCAATTCTAGGCCGGAATCAGTCACTTGCACTGCGACTCTCCACAACACCGTCACTGCTCCCTTTCCTCTGTTCCAGTGGCCCGTCTTGTCCGTTCTCCCCTCTGGCATCCTGCGTATCATAATTTTCAGAGGGCCGCTGTTAGCCAATGTATGCATTTCTGGATGACTCATCCGCTAAGTTGCTTCCAATACTCCTTGAGGAACGTGACGGGCCCTTGCCACCATCTGCTGAAATCCCTTCTGGAGAAAGATCCGGTCGAACGGCCTACGTCGCTGGCGGCCGTCGAGGCAGGAAAACACGGAGCTACGTGTCCAATGCCGGAATGGAATGGCACAGCCACAGCTTTGCACGGCTTTGGTCTCAGGTCACTGTGGAGGCATTCAAACATCCCTGCTGTTACTACAGCTCCCTAGCACACTCTTGCTGCAGGACGACTGGTTTCTGATGGATCCCAAGAAGCCCGTGAGAACAGATGCCGAGGCATGCGCCGAACATCGCTTAGACTTTTCAGTCCTGTATCCTGTGCTTTCCACCAACTGACAAAAAGCAGTGCTTTGCCTCTGGAGTGCCCCGCTGCAGGCGAAAACACCCATGTCACCGGTCATGGGCACCTGTTGCTGCACAAGGTCTAGGAAGTTGTAGGCTTGTGCTGGTGAGTTCGTAGCACCTGGACCACTTTCTGGATGACGACACAGTATGTCCTGGTGCGGATCAGTGCAGAACGGTCGGTTGGTGGGCTACCCGGCGGATATGTATACTGAGGTGCTCGCCGAAGGAGATCTGGCCTGGATATGTTGTGGAGAAGGCCAGCAGCTCTGAGCATTTCCAGCTTGCAGGAGCTGCACCTCGTCCGAGAAACAGCTGCCCAGTTGCAGGTCGGCACGCTCGTTCTCGGCACGCCCGAGGCCATCGGTTTACGGAGTAAGTTGCAGCAGGTTTTCTTAGTCTGTCCGAGCGTAGCGGGTTTTCATTCACCTCCCCTTTTCCACTGTTTCATGCCACAAGCTTCCATTGCTTTATCGGAGAGCTGTACAATAGCTGCACTGTTGTCTGTTCTTCTTCGAGTCTTCTTTCTTCATCAAAAGCTTTGCGTGCGAGGATCTGCAAGGCCAGACAAGCATGAAGCACTATAAGGGTTACGATAAGAATTGCTAATAAGGGTTCTGTACAGGCTGTTGGGAACCTTTGTTCAGTCATGTCTTTCCAGGGTATCAGCCGAGATAATCTTGGGATGATCGGGAGAATTTTTCGATGTCGGGAAACGTTCGGATAGAGATGGTAAGTGTGCGAACATTGGACACGGAAAGACACTCTGTGGGTTTGTGTCCGTGCAGCTGATGCACGGCCCAGAGTAAAAGGAGCGTGTGCTTCCTGCTGTTGTTTTGCGGCAAGGTATCTTTGGGGTTTTGCTTGCCTCTCCGCCGTGATGCATCAAGTTCGGCATCATCATCTGCGCACAGAGCGACTTCCTGCACATCTCATGGATCCTTCCCTGGGCTTATACAGTAGCCCAATTGTAGCGGGAGTCCAGGTGCACTCGAATCGGCGCATGTGAAACTCCGTGTGACCCCGCGATGTTTGTCACAGTCGTCGCTGCTCCCTGCAGCATGTATGATCAAATTCAGGAATGTGCCCACAGGGTGTCCTCACTACCCGTGTTTGCAACTGCAGGAGCCAGCGCTCTGCATCTACGACATCATCCCAGGTGGTTTTGTCGCCAAAAGACATGCAGATGCGCTTTACGGGGCTGAGAGCTGCGTGTGCGGAGGACTCGCCGGTGCAGTCGCTGTCGCCACAGGCAGATGCTTTTCGCTGTAACTCACTGCCCCTCAGGGCCGTCCTTCAGAAACTTCCAACTGCATCTTCGCCTCGCTGATGCCTCCAGCTCGATCTGCACTGGTGGGACCCTGGATAGTTGACTCCCTCAGAGTGCACGCCCAAAGCCCTATTATCTGGATGGACAAAGTGGACATGTACTTTCATCTCTAATGACAATCAAGCACTCACACTCCCACACCCACATACACGCGACACGTAGGTCAGACGAGGCAACTGCAACCCGACTTGCACAGGAGAGTAGAGTCGTGCAAGAGCAGAAGTCGGATGGAAGCAGCTTTCCAGCATCAATAGGCAGATTCCACAGAGTAGAGCACCATCGGCCAGGCTGAGCAGAGGTCTAGAAAGTCCTCGCGCGGACTGTCTCGCTTGAGTGCCTGGCTTCCCTTCAGGCTCTGTGCAAGAAATTCGTATACCACCACGGCCCTTGCAGAGGAGTTCACACTCAAATTCTCAATAGTCTACTTCTTGTCCAGGCAGCGGGAAGATATGTTGGACTGCACGCAGCTGAGCGCTGTGGTGCAGAGGCCTCCGATGCCAGTGAAGAGATATTCAACCACTGGCTGATTATTGCCCGTGTGAGCAACATCTGAAGACTAGCAAAGATGCAGACCGCGTGCTTCGGCGCAAGACACACCGACGAGTAAGCGCGATTCACTTGTCCGCGGCTTCCACGGCATGAAGCCAACAGTCCTGCATAGCACCTTGACCTACCAGGAGGGGCCAACCGGACTTATAGGACGTCCCCAGGGACAACCGGACTTATAGGACCTTTCGGGGTTGCGATTTGGAACCCACCTCGATGACGACAAACTGAAAAACATGTCAATATGGATGGCGCAAAACTTGCGAAGCATGTTGAAGCATGTTTGTTTGCTGACAGAAACCACAGGAGATATATTGAGAACCCCTAAGAAAGTCTGCAGAAAAGCGTTTACAAGCATATATAGTTTTTGAATGGTTGTTTTGCCGCGTGCCTATTCAATTTAAAGTTTCGGAGCAGCAAAAGTGCGACGGCAGCCACCCGGAAAATATGTTTGTTTGCATAGAGACCACAGTAAATGCATTCAGAACACGCAATTAAAGCCTGCAGAAATGCGTACGTTCTTAGTTGTAGAATGTTTTTTTGTTTGGCGTGTTGACAAAATTTCTAGTCCAACATTTGTATAACACGCCGTATATTTCCTGCATACACATATTTATTTATTTATTTATACGAAATTGGTATTGTACGGAGACCATTATAGCAAAACAGCACCCACCTGGAAAATAGCTGCACGGTATGTATGTTTATTACATGCATGTATATATATATATATATATACCCTGGTCCCATACACCCGGAACCCCTATACACAATATAATATAATATAATATAATATAATATAATATAATATAATATAATATAATATAATATAATATAATATAATATAATATAATATAATATTATATAATATAATATAATATAATATAATATAATATAATATAATATAATATAATATAATATTAATATAAATATCAATACAAATATATATATATATATATATATATATATGTATATATATATATAATATATATATATATATATATAGCATATTAAATACACATATATATATATATAGACATAACATGCACGAGCAACACATTGCATGCGGAACTGCCGGGCACTCATTTTCTTCCTGGAGCCCGTTCGTCCATCGGAGCGCCGCAAGAAGGCTATAGTGCTGGATCGCAACCACCGAGGTCGATCGAGGATGCGTGTGCAAGATGATCTTCCTTGGCTGGTCTGTGAGATCTAGGCGCGAGCAGCTTGCAGGGATCAGTGCGAGCAACCCTTGCGAGCAACCCTTGCAATCATGAGCACACTTTTCCACGCACAGACTTGGCGTTAAGATGGGTGGCCCCAGCATTGAGGGAGATGCCGCAGCTGAGCGGTACATTCAGCTGAGAAGTATAAAATATTATGTATAATATGTACATGTGTGTGTGTACGTATAAGACATATAGTGATCAGTGTGCATGCTCCGCTAGCTGCTGCACTTAATAGTTTATGGCTTTGGCACTTGGCCTATAGATCAGCTTGTCACCGTAGTCGATGGCTTCGTTCGTACCAAGGCCTTCAACTCTGCGGCCTCAGGAATCCAATGAATGTAGACCCGATGCGCCCTTATCAGAACTGCAGATTTCACACCAACTATAATCACAGCCGTGGTACATTCGGCCTCCAGAGAATCATACCCAGTCAGCTGCATGTCCTGGATGCAGCCAGGTGAATGATCCCAGACTTGAGAACTGCATGCTTCGATCAATCTGGAATCGAGTCCTCTAAGTCTCTTGCTCTCCGCAGCCGACGTACCCAGGGGGGCGTCTGGGTGGCTTTGCAGTTCGAGATCTCGAGCTCATCGGTGTCGCTGTGCTCAAGTCGAAAGATCTCGGTCTTCGTGGTTTTGCCCAGCTTGGCATTCCACTTTGCCCAGCCAGAAGGACCGGACCGGTTGCCAGGCTTGCTCTGCTTTTTTTTTCTTGCCTTCATGACTTTCGTTGGCTTTCCGGACTTCATGGCCTTCATGGCCTTCATGGCTTTGGCAGCCTTCATGGCTTTCTTGGCCTTTGCCATATCTTGCTTGGCCGATCTACGACCTAGCTCGAGCCAGCATGCTGAATATTCCAGGCCGGATCCGTTGCAGTAATAACACGCAACATGCCAGTGCCCGCAATGCTTGGAATATATATATATATATATATATATACACGGCGTGCAGACGTGCAAGCTTCGAATGTGCTTGGAATATATGCGAAATACCAGATAGATCCACACACGGCGCGCGCACGGCGCGCGCACGGCGCGCGCGCGGCGCGCAGACGTGGTAGCTTGTAATGTGCTTGGAATATATGGGAAATACCATATAGATCCACACACGGCGCGCGCACGGCGCGCGCATGGCGCGCGCGCGGCGCGCAGACCTGCAAGCTTCTAATGTGCTTGGAATATATGGGAAATACTATATAGATCCACACACGGCGCGCGCACGGCGCGCAGACCTGCAAGCTTCTAATATTGGAATATATGGGAAATACCATATAGATCCACACACGGCGCGCGCATGGCGCGCGCATGGCGCGCGCGCGGCGCGCAGACGTGCAAGCTTCTAATGTGCTTGGAATATATGGGAAATACCATCTAGATCCACACACGGCGCGCGCATGGCGCGCGCATGGCGCGCGCGCGGCGCGCAGACGTGCAAGCTTCTAATGTGCTTGGAATATATGGGAAATACCATCTAGATCCACACACGGCGCGCGCATGGCGCGCGCACGGCGCGCAGACGTGCAAGCTTCTAATGTGCTTGGAATATATGGGAAATACCATATAGATCCACACACGGCGCGCGCATGGCGCGCGCATGGCGCGCGCGCGCGGCGCGCAGACGTGCAAGCTTCTAATGTGCTTGGAATATATGGGAAATACCATATAGATCCACACAGGGCGCGCGCATGTCGCGATGCTTTGCAATACATGCATGTCGCAGTAGAATTATAAGGGCCGCGTTCACAACTATATTGCATGCAGAGCTGCTTCATTCTGAACATCATGTCCTCGTCCAAATAGCAGCTGTAGTACCGAGGATTTCCGGCATAGGGGAGCCAGTCACATATCCTTTGATCGAACGATTGAAGCGTATATGTATATATATATATATATATTATATATATATATTTATAATATACAGCGGCCTGCAGGCAAGGTGCAGATGCTCGTACTGATGCATTTTCGGTCTGACCGGGTAGCGAAGATTACCTTTGCTGAAGGCGTGCTCCGTGAGGGAGTCGTAGCTATGTCGGTATATCATGTACGCTTCGTACGCCACCACCTCGGGATGGTCGTCGTCCGAGGGGGCATTGAAGTAGCGCCTGCAGGCGCAAAATAGAGGTTTCCAAAAAATATATATATATATATGCATGCTCAGCGGCCCATTTTCGGCAAAGATAGTCTGCATCGTGGCCAGTGCACTGAAGAGTGCATGACGTTGCCGCGCCAGAATATCCTCGGGCCCTGCTTCCATTTGCTGCCGAGCGACCAGGAGGCACCAGAAGATCATTGTACGGGCTGTGGCACCCTTCAACATTTTCTGGCTCACGCTCGGGAATTGCCCAGTGACCAAAAGAATTTTGGACGTGAACATCTTCCAGTTCGCTCTTTCCGTCACTCCTTATATACAAGTTACCCTTTTGGACATGGCATAGTATGCAAACAAATTAAAACCTGCCATGCATGCCATGATCTTTCTGCGACGCACCAGGAATTGTAGGATTCGCGAAGAGATTTCAATGCATTGTCCCTGCGTCCACTCCCATCAGACCAATCCAGCAAAGCACTGGTGATGCAGTCAGGGGCGATCTGGAGATCGAGGATGTGGAGGAGATCCGGAAAGACTCCTTGCAGGCAGATGGGTAGATATATATATATATATATATATATGTGTACATATGCAATATTGGCTGTAACACTCTAATATGTGGCTGGTAGCTAGTAGGGCAGAAGCATGGGATTCTGGTCAAAGTTGTTTCTCCGTGAACACGGATCCATTCGCGCTTCGTGGTGATGATCCTTGCAGCATGCACGGCAAAAAAAATATATATATATATATATACATATATAAAATCCGTATACTTGGATGACTCTATAGATGCTCCATATCAAGCCCGGCACGTTGAGCGATGCAAGGCCTGCTTGCCGAAGTTTGTGTACAACATTTCGTCGCCGTCGTCCGTCGGCAATTGGGTTGCCTGCGCAGATCATGTCCCGGTAAGTCGGTATGTCATTGACACAAATGAACCAGCCCAGCCTTGCAGAACTGGCAGCAGAGCGGCCGTTTGGAATGCCAGCTGCCTAGGACTCGATCGATGGATAATATTATAAAAAAAATATATATATATATATATATATAATCTCGATCGATCTACCAGATCGATCGAAGTACGCGTCCTGATCATAAAATATAGGCCAGGCTGCGCTTGAACTTTAACAAACGATGCATGAATTCCTGGTCTCCTTGTAGACCAGCAAACGCACCACGCCAGCCACCTGCCAACAATTGGCCTGCCCGTGCTGCCCGTTCTGGATGATAGCCTTTGCCGAATTCCTTTCCCCAAGGGTCGCAGGCTGGCCATCTCCCTTCTCCTGATCAGCATTTTTGCGCACATCGGTCGTTGCAGCGTGCATGTCATATATGGCATGCATATATACGGAGGCTCCTAAGCAGCAAAAGCTCCACTGAATCAAGTCCAGAAGTTTCTCCCTGGCATCCTGGCACATCGTATATGCAATCTGAGGCAGGCGGTATATGCTTTTGAACTGCCTCCTTGGTCATGCTGGTGCATCGAAGAGCGATCCTGAGTGCTTTTATAATATATCTATATTGATGTATATATAATATACGAGCCTGCGAGCAAAAATTCAGAAAGGTCATGCAAGCACAAACATGCACATGTAATATATATATATATATATATATATATCTATAGG